ATAATGAGAAATCACCCTAGGGATGGCCATGTCATAATCCCTTTTCCATTCTTCTCTTGGGATTTTGGGCACGCATGCCCGATGTGAGTTTAAGCCACCAAGTCTGGGACTTGAATCGCGGTCCACTACGTGGGAGTCTAGTGATAAAACCATTATACCATCTGCTGGTCCCTGTAATCTTTATGAATCTTGAAGAGAATATTAATATCCCTTTGGAATCTGAATATATGATTTGATGTTACTTTAGATAATATTTACTGAATATTATATCCAGCACTGGGTAATGCTTTACATATTTAAAATTAAATGGGTACTTTCAAGATGAGTAATATATATTTTAGGTACTTTACTAGTAAAAATTAATCTATTTGAGACGAAATGTGTGTCAATAGACAGTGATCAAACTTCTAAAATTGGTGTTAACAAAGTTGGTCGTATTCATGTTTTTAAATCTTGAGAGTAAAAATTTAGCACAACCTGTTTCCCTAGGTGTTAGTTATCTAGATAGTGCTTGACAGTTCTTGGTAGATTGAAGAGTGAGTGTGTTGTTTGGGAATGGGGAAAGGAACTATAATAGTGATTTGCAGTAGAAGTAGAAAGGCCTGTTTAAAACAACTAACTCTGGGCCAGCAAGTAGCATGGTTAAGGTGCTGGATTCCTACATGGGGCTTGAATCCTGGACCCGGTGGCTTGAAAATCATGCCAGGTGCATGTGGGTGCATCCTGAGAGGAGAATGGAGAAGTGATTGTGGAATGGCCATCCCCTCTTCAGGATGATTTCTCACTTTCCTCTCTCTGTCTCTTTCTCAGATGAGCATATACATGTTATGGCAAAAACCTAAAAACAAAAACAAAAAAAGCAACCAACTTCATTGCAGGTTTATATGAAAAGTTTCTTTTCTAAGTGTAGGGTTTATACTTAGACTTTTCTTGATACTAAGACTTAATGCCTAGCTAATATTTCAATTCTGAGGAACGAGAATTGACTTGCGTGTATGTAATGAGGCCAGAATGAAAGACAGTGTTTTGAAAGTGAGGTCTGAGGGCTGTAAAGAGAGACTTGGCAGTTTTGTGAAGTAAACTAAGTTATACTCTAGATAACTTGGTACTGGAGTTATGCTTCTTTCTAGTTTGGAGTTCTCAACCCCAGCTTCTCTCTACTTTAGTTTAACATAAACTCTCCATTTCAGTTTGGTTTCTCCCCATCTTAATGGAAGTGAATAACTCTCTCCTATGCTCTTTGGAACATGGTCTCCCTATAATTTCCCTGTAAATGTGGATGGTATAGTGCATCTGTATTTACATATTTTCCAGTCTAACTTTTTTTTTTTTTTCCTAGAGGTTTCCTGTGTGAAACACAGAGACAGGGAAAGGAAAAAAAGCACCTTTCACAGAGGAGAGTTAATCCCATCTCCTCCATCTCTCTTACCTTTTGAGATTTGGGGCATATACATGCGTACATACATCTGATGTGTTTCTCAGGGCTTCAGGTCCAGGGCTCAGATAGTTTGGTTAACCATGTGGGATCTGTCTGCTTTAACCACCACACCATACAGCCAGCCCATTCTAAGTTCTAACTGAAAGCTTACAAAGAAATATAAATGGAGACCCTAAAGTATCCCTTTTGATATTTTGTAACTTAATTTTATCAAATGATAAAAGAATCACTTTGGGGAGTCACAAACTCCTTCTGACCATGATTTACTTGTAAAGTGAAAAGCTAGATCTCTGAATTGACCTACATGATTCTGAACTGTAGCAATTGTGACATTTTTGTGTAACAAGTTACATTATCATTCTAGTATATAAAATGTTAATTTTGTTTATCTGCTGACAAAAAGATGAAGAATAGTGAAAAAAGTTAAGTTCTGGTGGATTTTTCCCATTTATTTAAAATTTTATTTATCACTGTTATTACTATTTTTAAAAACTTGCTATAGGGCATGTGCACTTATGAGAGAGAGAATGTGAGAAAGCAAGCTGCCAAGTCGGTCCCGGACTGCAGTTGGCCATGTGGGTGTCTAGTAACCTAACCATTATGCTACTTGCTGGCCCCAAGTTTAGGATTTTTAAACGTGTTGTGAAGGATCTCATTCTTTACAGAGAGACCTGGATTTCTGCCATTTGCTAGATATATAGCTGAGTGCAACCCTCTATAAAAACAACTTAGAGACAGTATCCAGAAAATGGAGACGCATGTCTTCATATGTATAGCGCCTAGCACATCCTTATGAGATACTGATAGTACATGTTAGAACTCTTTTGTTATACTGGGCAAGTGAAAGGCCTTCTGGAAAACTAGTATAAAAAAGTAGTTATAAAGCCAGTGCACGGTATGGTGGTTTACTGGCTAGATTTCACATGGCTGATTTCATGGTTTAAATTCCAAACATGGTGCTTGAGAAACATATCAGGTACATGTGCACATATATCTAAAATCCTGAAAGAAGGGAGAAATAGAGGAGAAGGGATTATGGCACAACTATGTCTTATGGGAGGGGTTTGCTTTCTCACTTTTCTACTCTCTGTCTCTGGTGAGCACATATGCCTTATGGCAAAATTAAAAAAAAAAAGTATGTAGCTGAATAAATTGCCAAGTAAGGCAGTAGTAAATAGACACACAAGAAAAGGACTCTTCATTTTATATGAAAAACTTATGTACTAATTAAGTTATTAGTTATGACTGTGTTCTAGGGTTTTAGTAAGGTTTATATTAGATTTCTTTTGTTTCTTTCATTGAGAGAGACTTTTGCTACAGGGCACATGTGCTTGCTGAAGAGAAAGAGAAAGACAGGAAGCGAGAAATCATCCTCTCTAGGGAGGATGGCCATGCCACAATCCCTTCTCCTCCATTCTCCTCTCAGGATTTTGGGTATGCACTCACATGCACCCAACGTGAATTAAAAGCCACCAGGTCCAAAACTTGAACGGGGATCGCGTAACCTCTACACCATCTGCTGGTCCTTGTGTTAGGTTTAATGTATTTATGTTGCTGAACAGAAATACCTGAGAATGGATAATTAAAGAATAGAAGTCTATTTGGTTCACAATTCTGGTGGTTGTAAAGCCTAAGATTATGAGGCTAGCTTTTGGTCCTGTGTCACAATATGGCAGGGGGATTAGCTTGTTTTGTACACACACACACACACACACACACACACAGAAGAGAGAGAAGGAGAGAGAGAGACAGAGAGACTCACTGACTTGGGAGTAGCTTTTAACCTTTTCAGCAACCTGCTTTGGGGACCAGTGGATGGCAGTTACATCACTGGACTCCCACGTAGTTGAGTCTCAGACCTGGCAGCTTAAAACTCATACCTGGACCACGTGTGTGCGTGCCCAAAATTCTGAGAGGAAAATAAAGGAGAAGGGATTGCCATGTGGCCATCCCCCCCCGCCCCCGGGGGTGTGTGTGATTTCTTACTTTCTGTCTCTCTCGCAAGTGCACATGCCCTATAGCAAAAATTTCTCTTAAAAAAAGTTAAAAAATGACAACCTGCTTTGGTGCTCAAAGGACTAACCCTTCCTGCCAGAGTAAAAACTCACTTCTTGTAAGACAGAACTAATCTGTTCATAATGGTGGTGCCCTTATGATCTAGATGCCACCCATTAGACCTCATTTCTTAAAGCTCTCATCAATTTCCAGTGCCATTATGCTGGCGGCCAAATTCCAAAATATGAACCTTTGGAGGACAAACCAATATCAAAATTATAGTAACTAAACTTCTGTTTATGTTGAAATATTCTAGAAAGACTATATCTGATTGAGAAAGAAATAAACTATAATCAGGAATAATCTGATTTTCACAAGTTAATAATTTAAGGGGAGGTCCTACAGGTATGTGGTGCATATTGGACTTCCACATGACTGACCGTGGTTTGAGTCCCAGACCTGGTAGCTTGCTTTCTCACTTTTTTTCTCTTTGGTAAGCACATGTGACCTATAGCAAATTTAAAAAAAAATTAAATAAATGATTCTTAAAAAAAATAATTTAGGGGGATGGCCATATAGCCTAGAGGTTAAGGGAAGCCAGATCCCCCATGGCTGACTGTGGTTCAAGTCCTGGCCCCTGCAGTTTAAAAAACATGCTGGGATGACCAGCAGATGGCATAATGGTTATGTTGCTGGACTCCTGTGTAGTCAACTGAGGTTTTCCCATATGATATCTGATAATAATAATAATAAGTTACCTGATATATGATATCTGATAATAATAATAATAATAAGTTTTTCATAGGGTCCCAGACCTGGTGGCTTATAAATCTCACGCTGGGTGCAGTGTACATGTGTGCCCAAGATCCTGAGAGGAGAAGGGATTGCAGCATAGTCATCTCCCCAAGGGGTAATTTCTTGCTTTCTCTCTCTTTTTCTTTTTAGAGGTTTTTCACTATAGGGCGTGTGCGCTCGCCAGACAGAGAGAGACAGAGAGACAGAAAGCGAGAAATCACCCCCCCAGAGGGGATGGCCACGCCGCAATCCCTTCTTCTCCATTCTCCTCTTGCGATCTTGGGCATACATGCACACACGCCCGGCATGGGTTTTAAGCCACCGGGTCTGGGATGCGAACTGTGGTCGACTATGTGGGAGTCCAGTGACATAGCCATTACGCTAACTGCTGATTCCCTTGCATTCTCTCTTGTATTCGCAGTGAGTGCACGCACCCTATAGCAAAAATCTCTTTACAAAACAAAACACTGGGTACGTGTGTGTGTGTGTGCCTAAAATCTTGACAGGATGGAAACATGAAGGGATTGTGGGTGACCATGCTCTATTGGGAAGGTATTTTCAGTCCTCTATCTCTCTCTGGTAAGTATACATGCCCTATATCAAGTAAAAAAGAAAAAAAAAGTAGTTTTAAGTATACATTTTCTACTTGAGTAGCCGCATAAAAAGTTAATACTCTTGTTTAAGTGACAAGATACAAAAGGAAAAAAAAGTAGCACATAAGTAGCACTTTTTAATTTAAAAAAATTATAATTCCAAAAGCCATTTTAAATAGTGAACTTTCATTATATATATTTTTGTTCATTTTTAATATCAGAAAACCCATTTTCTTTTCAGTTTCATTATAAGATGAATACAGTGTGACCAACATACTGCATCATTAGTGGACATAATTTGTATAATATACTTTGTGTTCTTTAGCTGAACAATTTTTTTCCATGTAATAAATGCATTTATTCAAAAAAGGAGAGATACAAACATTATAATTCCAAGAAAAGCTTTTGTTATAAAGAGTGACAATTTCTTTTGGTTTAATTCAAAAGGATCACATTTAATATCTGAATAACAAAGAATTAATTATCAAGGCTAAACTCTTGTCACCAAATATTTTTAATTACACATTATTTTAAGCTTGAATATTTTAAACCATGGTTACAGAATATTGTATAGGAATATACTGAAGGCATAAACTTACTCTTTTTGGTTTAATTCTTTATAACTTTAAAATAGTTTTGTGAAATGAAATAGAATTATTTTTACTGATAAATATGAAACTGAACTGAATCCTTTACTATGTTTTTCTAAAGAATTCATTTCCAATAAGCAAGTGTTCAATATTACATAGTTAGGAAATCATGTTATTGACACTCAAATTTTTTCATTTACTGTGTCCTAATCTTGAATATATATATTTTTTAGAATATTTGCCATTAAACTATACATTTATATGATATCCTGACTACAACAACAATAAATCAGTTCTTCAAGTAAACATACTTCTCAATCATATTGCCCTTGTGCATCAAATTTATTATCTGAAGACTAAAAGCTCTGCTTGTTTAGGAAAAGTCAATGATTGGGTCTTCATTTGCAATTGAGGTTCTATTTTCCTTCTAAACGTTCCTTTACTAATTTTTCCAAAGAGAAAAGATGTTCATCTGCTTCTTCTGGTACAAGGTTCCTAATAGAATTTGCCAATTCAAACAGATATTCTGTATTTCTTCCACTTGGACCAGATGCATTATAAATTTGTTCAGCAATGTCTTCTAGAGGTGCAGGACCAAGATAATTAGGATTATCACACGTTCCAATATATAGCAACACAGTGAATGGTTTTGTTGTAGGATCTTTTGGATAAAAGATAACTGTTGTGGTTCTGTATCCTCCTTTCTCTCTGAAGTCAAGGTATGCTTTTACTTCTTCTTCTTTTCCTACTGGCAATCTATAAGCAACCCCCCATACACAACCCTGTTGAAAAGAAACACAGCTTTTAGTATTTACAAGGGTAATTAAAATAGGTGAAGATATATTGGATCTAAGAAGGTATCTTGTATACCAATTAATAAAAGAAATCAGAATTTAAAAAATATTGATTCTGATTAAATAATTCCTTTGCCTTGTAAGCGTAACCATGGTATTTATCTTTTAAAAACTTTAAGAGATTTTTACTATAGAGCATGTGCACTTGATGGAGACACAGATAGAGACAGAGAGACAGAAAGTGAGAAATCACCCCCCGGGGGTCGGGGGGATGGCCACGCTGCAGTTCCTTCTCCTCTATTCTCCCCTCGGGATTGCATGCACACATGCCTGGTGTGAGTTTAAAGCCTCCAGGTCCAGGACTCAAACTAGGGTTGGTCATGTGGGAGTCTAGCAATGTAACCATTATGCCATCTACTGGTCTCTATCTTTCAAAATCTTTAAAAATTAGGTCTTTTTCTTTTAACAAAAGGGACTTAACTGATAAATATCAGACTTATCATTTGGTCATTTAAAAATTCTATACAAACCAAGCGCCTTTTGTTCATTAACTGTTTAATTAGGAGTTATAGTTGCCAAGTTGAAACTTTTCTTTTTTTTAAAAAATATCCCAGAGTGAGAGGGAGAAAGCATCTCCCAAAAGGGAATGGTCATGCTGCAATCCCTTCTCTTCCATTTCTCCATCCTGTTGGGATTTGGGGCATGCACACACAAGTACCCTGTGTGATTTTCAGGCTGCTGGGTCCGAGAGCCAAGGCCCACAGTTGGGCACATGGGATTGAACTCCCTTAACTATTAGGCCATGGAGCTGACCCTGATGCTGGTTTTACAGTGCATTTTTACCAGTGTAAATTATGAAAGCATTTCCCAGTCTTCACCATCATTTATCTGCTATTGATAGCTGCTTGATTTTTACATATCAAAGTCCTTCCCAAAGTTAAAACTTTAATTTCACAATATGAAATTTTGAATCTGTATCCCAGTAGAATGATTGAAAATATTTAAGAGACTGAGGACTGTTAGTTAAATAAAAGTTTTTTGGTGCTCCAAACTTATTTAAGAAAAAATGCTATTAATAAAATTAGCCAATAAAAAGTTAGAATTTTTGACTTAGATTTTTGCTGAAAATATACAATCCTAGTAAATGTGAAGAGAGCTTTAAGGGTTTCATTTGATCCACAGTGGTACCCTGGCTTTCTGGGGCTATCTCCATTAATGTCAAAGGGGAACACAAAATTCTCATCAACAAACTCATTAAAACACACACACACACAGACACACACACACACACAATAAAAAAGGAAGAAAGAAAGGAAAAGAACCCAGAAACCAAGACTTCATGATATTTGGTTTTATTTTGTTATCTACTTTGCATTCTTTTCCCACTGGCTTCATTTTCAAGCATGGAGGGGAAAAAAAAAAAAACCCAAAAAACAAAAAACAACTCTACATGAAATATAGATAAGAATTCTAGACTTAATGTATTAATAATTCAAATTGTTTATGATGACTGTCAATAATGGTTCATTAGTTATTAAAACAAACAGTTCTTACAATGAAAGACTATACAAAAATGAACAATTTTACCATACCCCAGGATCTTCAACAAGAGTCACAACTCTTCCAGGCTGTTTTTAAAAAGGTAAAAAAAAAAAAGAAAAAATATTTTTTTGAATTAAATGAAGTTCATTAAGTAACAGCATTAGGAATTTATTAACAGACTTTTTATGCATTCATTAAAAACATTTCTTATTAAAGCGAATGACATAAGAGCATGTATCATGTCTAAACTCTCTTGGCCTTCATAAAGATTTCCATCAATTTGTGTATAGTAGTTATGTTATATTCACTTATGGATATGTTAATAAGCATATGGGTAGCTAAAATTTATCTACAATTTGAAGCAAGTGGAACCATAAAAATTACAGTTTTCCCTTTGGTAAAAAGGTGGTTATATTGGGTTGTCAGAAAAGTTATTATGGATTTTGCTGTTTTTCTATGCAAAAATGCATCATGACTTTTCAACCCAATAGTTTTTATTAGGTGAAAAATACGACGTTCCATGGTGCTTTGCTATGGGGAAGTGGGTTTCAAACTTGGTCAAAATTACCTGTAGGAGTTGACAAACACACATTGCTAGAAAACACTTTGAATTTCTGATTCCATAGCTCTGGAGCTGAGAATCTGCATATGTAACAACTTCCCAGATTCCAGTAAAACTATTTTGGGCTCACAATATTGGGAACCACTGCTATGAGGGTGTACTGAGAGGTTTTTAAGTGCAAGAGAAAGAGCGATTTACACTTCTGAGTAAGTCCACTTAACCTTTCTTTATATAGCAATCAGTGCATTGAGGTAGGTATCCCTTATATATTGGGTCATCATGTCATGCTTTTTTTAAATGTAAAAATGTGTCCTGACTTTTCCAATGACCCAATATTCCTAAGTGAACTTTACATTGTTTTATTGAGAGGCTAACAATAGAACTGGCCTAATTCATATAGTTTCTCCTTAAATGAGACAGAGTACCTGTGTTCTAGGCAATTTTATCTTTCCACTTTTTTTTTTTAGAGTTATTTTACTTACTTAAAAAAAAAAAAAGATTTTACTTTATTTGAATTTGACCAGAGAGAGAGAGAGAGCGAGAGAGAGAGAAAGTGAGAAAGCAAGCCACTAGGTCTGCAACTCAAGCCATGGTCAACCATGTGTGAGTCTAGTGCCCTTAACCACCATAACACCTGCCAACCCCACTTATTTAATTTTATTTGTTGTTATATTTTTAAAAATTGACCAGATAGAGAGAGAGGGAGAAAGAAAGGGAAAGTGAGAAAGCAAGTCGTCAGGTCTAGAACTTGAACGACTGTCAACCACTTGGGAGTCCAGCACTTAATTACCATGCTGCCTGCTGGCCCCCTCACGTTGGTTTTAATATAGGTCAGTTAACAGTTATTTGAAAAGAAGCTGACTTTCTATCATTGAACTTGAGATTGAAGTGAGATATTATTTAGCCAAAACAAGTTTTATTTGTTCTTCCATTTCAGAGACTGAAAAAATAATACTGTTTATAAATTGAAAGTCTTAAAAAACTTCTAGACTTTGAACAGTCCATAAGTTAAGCCAGAGGTTATAAGTTTTTATTTTATTTTATTTTTGAAAATAAATTTTCTACCTAGTGCAAAAGGCTTCGTATTTACTACTGTGTTAACAACATTATTAGCAAGAATGCCAAGTTGCAAGCCACAGTTTTACTTACTTGTATGTCCAATGTTAAGCATATACTAAGCCTAAATTATTCTGGCATTTGTGTCATCTTTGTTGCTAATTCCTTCTCATCTTTTTATGACTAGATAATTTATAATCATGGAACACATGGGATTTGGGATTTTTTTCTTTATATATGACAGAGTGTGTGTGAACACATATAAGTGTATGTTAGTGAGAGAGAGAGAGAGAGGAAAAGCATCCTTCACAGGGTCTGGTCACACTGCAATCCTCTTTCTCCAGTCCTCCAGTCTGGTGGCTCTTCAACATTGCTCACATGTCTGTCATGTTTCAGGCTGACTGGGCTGAGGATTCAAACCCTAGTAGCCTTGTGGGATTTAGCTTCTCTTGAACAGTGCATTACTACTGTGTCATAGAACCAGTCTAGTGATTTTGAATTTTGACTTCTCATTTAAATATGTTTTCCAGTTAGTCTTTTAATACATTTTAATAATTCTGTAATCTGTCACCAATAAATTGTAATTTGAACATTTCTGTGTCCTTGGGCATTTAGATTTCTGGATTTGTATTCTATTTAAATTAGTGTCATAGAGAGGTTATCTATATTGTGTTTCATGTAGGTATTACCATGTTACTTTCAATTTCAAAGTGAATTAGGAGCTGTTTATTGAATACCTACTTAATGGAAAAAATAAAACCTTGATTATTTTCTCCAAGAGCTTATATTGTAATTCTAGAATACAAACTAACATGTGAAATAAGTAGAGACTACTTAATGGCCAATATGTATGGAGTTTATTACATGCAGTAAGATTTCTAAGTCTTAGGAGGCCAGAGTAAAATCTGGCAAATTATGACTCTCATTTTGTGACTGAGGGTCTAGAGCGAGGGCTGTATCAGTGTTTGACTTTAGCAGAGAGTTTTCCATGAAGTACAGATGATACAGAAAGTTGACAGAAGGAATAGTATAGACTGAGATTTGAAAAGCCAAATAATGGAGAGGAGACCACAGAAATATAAAGCCACTGAAATTTGGGAGAAACTGGAAATAAGGAACTACCGTAGAACTTGAGCAGTAGGGTGATGACTGGCATGATAAAAGATGTAGAATGAAAGGAGGGAGACACAGAATAAATATTCATGGTCACAGGTGACAAGTGCTACACTATACCTCTCTCTGCCTCCTTTACATCTAGCCCTGTTAACAGTTCTTGGTAGTTCTATCTCTTGAATAGCTTCAAAATCTGGTTCCCCTTCATTCTTCAGTAGCCTTCTAAAGGATTTCTCTGCCTGCTTCTAATTTTGCCTCTATCTAGGCTGTTTTCTACTTGGGTCCAGAATGACTTTCTGGTATAAAAATGGGGCCAGTCACTCCTTTGCTTTGAATTTTTCAGGACTGTGATCTTCTACAGCATAGAATCAGAATCCTTTAGCATGACTTAACTACAAAGCTCATTTCTTTCCACTTTGCCCCTTAGGTTGTATGGAATTATAACTCTTAAAAACATGTATATCTTTGAATGTACTGGTGCCTAGTGAGGAATACCCTTCTCCCTTTTATTTATTTCCTTGGGATATAATTTGGCCACTCCCTCCATTAATATCTTGGCTAATTCCCCAGGTGGATTTAGCTGCTCCTTCTAAACTCTTTCATTGTTTTTTGTTTGTTTGTTTTTTTTTTTTAATTTTTGAGAGAGATTTTTGCTAAAGGGTGTGTGCTCTCACATGAGAGACAGAAAGACAGAAAGCAAGAAATCATCCCCCCCCCCCGCCCCCTGGGGGGTGGCCATACTGCAGTCCCTTCTCCTCCGTTCTCCTTCTGGGATCTTGGGCACGAAAGCACAGGTGCTGGTGAATTTGAAGCTTCCGGGTACAGGACTTGAACCAAGGTCGGCCATGTGGGAGTCTAGCAATCTAACTGCGACACCACCTGCTGGCCCCATCAATGCCTTTTTTATTCATATACCTCATAACATTTAACCAAGTATTTTGTTTACGTAGAAGTCTCCCATTTATGTAAATACTTGTAGTAATTGTTGAAAGGAGAAGGGGGGTAGTAAACTTGGACTTGGATGGTGGCAAGTAGAACAAAAAAGAGTATGGAGGGAGTCATTTCAAGGGGGAAATAAATGGAATCCTAGACTGCTTATGGATGAAACAGACATGAAAAACAATGTAAATTTGTAAATGCACTGTAGCTGAAGGAGAGATGGGAGTGATCAGCTGAAGGAGATTTGAAGATAGGAAATATAAGTTATTATAGGCATTTAGATAATGAGTAATGCTTCTGATCTAGAAAAGTTAGGTTTAGTACCTGCTCACAGTTGTCTCTTACAGTGTTTCCTTTTTTGAAATTCTAATGTATTCTATTTGATGTGTGAAAAATCTTTCACACAAACAAAAATTCTTATTTTGGTAAGAAACTCAGTTTTGGAATATATAAATGAGATGCTTAATTAAACTTCGAAAGAAATTAAAGTTAATGAAGCTAAGAAGCATAATTTAATAAGGCAAGTGGGTTCAGTATTTTTCCCATCAATGTCACATTGTGCTATATGGAAATGAGCCTAACATTTGTATATTAATGATGAGCCATTGTTGATGACTTACTAGAAGCATATCTTGCTGTAAAAAAGTCTTAGGTAGTACATAAGTGATTCTTTTAATTTGCTGGATATTTCTGTAGTCTTTTTTATTCTTGTTTATCAGACAGATTAATGTAAGGCTGTCGATCAGTTTAATAAAGCATGTGAAGTGTAATAATGTTCTTGCTAGGTTTGTTTGTTTATTTACTTAGGTATTTATTTATTTTATATATTAGAACAGTATGCTTAGAACTGCTAGAACATGGGACCAGCCAGTGGTGTAATGTTTGAGCTGGCTGGATCTCACCTGGCTGACTGCATAGTTTGAGTAGTGGATCTGGTGGCTTAAAAGACATGCTGGGTGTATGTGTGTGTGCCCAGGATCCTGAGAGGAGACTGGAAGAGGGATTACAGCATGGTCATCCTCCACGGATGGTGCTTTCTCACTTTCTCTCTCTCTGATGAATGTATGCACCTATGGCAAAATTACAAATAAATAAATAAATAAAAGTAGGTGTAAAACAATGAGTTTTATTTTCCCCCAAATTTTACTATATTTTAGTAAATTTAAATAAAAAAATACTGGCTTTTATAGCTTCCCTTTTTAAAAGCTTATTTTTATTTCTTTCATTCTTGGGTTGGAGGGAGAGAAATATTCTACAGGGTGTAGCAATCCTCCCTCCAGCCAGCCAAGATCACAGATGTGTCCTGTGTGTTCAGGTGTACCTAAGATCTAAACCCATATCACTCATAGGACTCCAGTATGCTGCAGTGGTGCCCTGTCACCTATGCCACCATGGCTGGGCCTCCAAACTCTTTTAAAAGCATTGTGGACTAGCATATTAACTTCGTAATTCCTTGTTATCAGTCTGTTCTGATGGTATATATTATCTCAAAGTGCTATGTAACAAACATACATTTGGTTGAGTTAGTGTAGTAAAATACGCTATTATAATCATATATGTAAATATTTAATACATGTTCATTAAAACTGGAGCCTGGCTAAGACTTTCCTATTTAAGATGAAAATTCTTAAGTGTTCATATTAAAACCCACTTGCACTCTCCAGAGAAAGAGGAAGAGGAAGTAAGGGATCAACCTCTTACGGGGTATGGTCACATGCAGTCCCCTTTCCTCCATTCTCCTGTCTGGATCCTGAGTGGGCACACAAACACACTGGGCATGATTTTCAAGCTGCCAGGACTTGAACCATGCAATTGGCCCTGTGGGATCCAGCCCCTTAACCTCCATGCCACCTGCTGGCCCCTAAAGCCAGGTTCTGAAAAGACCATCTCTATTTGAGGTCTAATGACCATCTTGTAACTTATTACAGAATTTTAATACTGTCTCTTTTTATGAGCAGGTGCAAACTATGTTAGATCATTGATCTCTCCCCTTTCTATGACTGCAGTTAATTCTTTGGAATTAATCCTACTGTTTCTATTCCTGAATGCATTTCAGATATTGTGCTTTAGACCAATATTAATTTATTCTTTAAGAATGATAATCAAGCTCATATCATTTTCAGAAAAAAGAACATACAAACAAAAGAAATTTTGTACTCTTCCCACAACTAGGTTAACACAAACAGGTGTCCAAATTGTCCAAGTTATTAGTTACCCCAAACTTAGTTTTCTTTACAGATTGTTTTGCTGCTGACTTGAATAAGCATGAGCTGCTACTAATTCTCTGTATACATATATTACGATGACTATCTTCGTATGACTGATAAAGGGGTCAAAAAACTTACATCTCACATTTATAACTTAGAACCATTGTTATTGAAAAAGTAATACTAAAATGCTGGATAGGGACCAACAGGTGGCATGGTGGTTTAAGGCGTTTAACTCCCATATAGTTGCTTGCAGTTCCAGTTGGATCTAGCAGCTTGAAAATCACACCAGAGAGCTCACCCACCCAGAAGTGGAGAATGGAGGAGAGGCGATTGAAGTGAAGCCATCTCCTGGGGGTGATTTCTCACTTTCTCTCTCTTTGTTCTCTCACAAGTGCACACACTTAAGGCAAAAACCTTAAAAAAAAATGTTGGATATCGTAATGTGTTTGGTACTGTTAGTCAACAAACTGGAAACTTCATTTAATTTCACTGAGTATCTGACAAAGTGATCAAAGTGACCTTATATAGCCAAAGATAGTTTTGTACATTAGCTCTATCATTTTAGGTGTCATAAAACAGAAATTGAAATAACATGCACATTTACACTCAAAGAAAGTCTACCTGAGTACAGAAACGCCAATAAATCTTATACTAAAAAGCTGAATATACGAGTTGATTTTAATATTTCAGCTCCTTGGTGACACGAAAATTAATCTTCCCGCCAGTGTTTTTTTTTTTTTTTTTTTTTTTTTTTTGGGCTGACGTTGCAGAGATATCCCCCCCCCACCCCGCTTTGGCACATCACGTCATTTTTGTGTGAGCTTGTGTGCTTGTGCCTCCGCTTTGAGCCTTCAGAAACAAACCACCATCTCAAGTGGCTTCGGACTGAGTCCCCTGGTTTGGGAGAGGGATGGGGGGAGGGGGGGAGGAGCAGGTGACTGAGGGAAATGCACAGATATTACGTTACCCCAACCTGTGTGCTTGTCCCGCAGGAAATGTTGGAGTGTGGGTTCTGCGCAGGTGGGCCCTAGCTGAGGAACGGCGGTCTGGGGGCAGTTATGTGTAGGGAGCTCGCTGGCGCCTCACCTTGCCTGGGACCCCGCGGTGGTCAGTGCTGCCCTGCCAGAAACGCCTGCTGAAGTCTGTGATGTATCCGACCATTTTGTCCTGATAGGGGAAGTCCACCTTCCAGATCAGGGACCCGTAACCAAAAACCCACATCTTTTCCCCGCTTCTGTGTCACAGCGGCCGGCCGCAGCCCCTCGGCTGTGTTCTCCCTGCAGCTTCTGGGACGCGATAACCCGCTGGCTGGCTGGGCTGGGCGCAGGCGCTGTGGCACCGCAGCCTCTAGGGGCGCCGAGCATGCTGGGATTGTAGTTTGAGGGACGTTTGCCAACTCGATCTTAACATTATTTCCTTTCCTGGAGGCTCAAGAAGCATTGGCCTTCTCGGCCGCAGCCCCTCGGCTGTGTTCTCCCTGCAGCTTCTGGGACGCGATAACCCGCTGGCTGGCTGGGCTGGGCGCAGGCGCTGTGGCACCGCAGCCTCTAGGGGCGCCGAGCATGCTGGGATTGTAGTTTGAGGGACGTTTGCCAACTCGATCTTAACATTATTTCCTTTCCTGGAGGCTCAAGAAGCATTGGCCTTCTGTACACTAAGCAATGACTTCAAGTTTCCGTAAATCACCCTAAGCTTCTTGTAGTGCGCATGTGCAGAGGACTACAATACCCACAGTCCTTTTCGGAGATCTGTGGTTCTGAAGTTGGAACTGAGCTTTTTTTTTTTCCCTTTCTCCTAGCAAGGGAGGGGCAGGATGGAAGAAAGGGTAGGAATCGTGACTGTCCAGATATGAAAACCTGTACCAGCCCTGCAGTTGGCACGTAGAAAGACATTTTGTTCTGCTTTGAAAATTGAACTTTTGCCTATATGACAACAGCCAGAGAGCACAAGCTAGGAATGTAATCTGTATTTGACTTTATGTATTTTTAATAAACCTCTTGCCTTTTTGCCTTTTAAATGAAAGCAAAAAGCATACAGTGGAAATTTTACACCGGTGAAAGAGCAACTATTTCAATGAATATAGTTTACATACTTGAATTTTAATGCATGAAGCAACCTAATTCATCTTTAGTATTCTCACTAGTTCACTCAGAAAAAAGTAGGCAGATATTCTTAAGTTGGAGCTCATGTACGGATTTTGGAAATAAGCTGGAAAACCTATTGAAATAATGTACACAATTAAGGATGTATGTGCATTTTCTTTTCTGGGAAGAAGCCTTATAGCTTTCATAAGTTTCTGCAAAGGATCAATGATTCTAAAAAAAATATTAAGACCTACTAGTTAGAGCTATTGTTCCAGAATATTTGTTGGAAACCTCACTTGAACCATCATAGCTGTGTATGTGAAAACAGAAAATTATTGTATAAAATGATTGTTCTTTCTTGAGGCTTTCAAGCTATTTCATGGTCTTTAGCTTTATGAGAAGAATGTTGAAATATCTGGGTTTGAAGAATATTATTTGTGGTTTTAAAAAGAAATCAACAGGAAGCTGCTTGCTTCACGGTGTCTGTAATGAAAAATTGTAGTTTGAGAGAATAATGTACTGAGACCTAAAATAGATTGTGACTATAGGGAATTTGAAGTTAGCTTAGAAGGGAGATGATAAGGACAGTAATGCTGTGAAAAGCTTTCTGGGCTAGTCTAAGAAAGCTGTGTTAATCTGTTTATGATGTTCTTTGTTGGTTTTGGTATATTCAGGCAATGAGATTGTTTCATCAAAGATGATGACTATATATCCTTCACTCCTTTTCTAGCCTTTTTTGGAGTTAGCAGTTTCCTGTAGAGGGCTATATATTGAAGCTGAGCTTTATTGGTAGTTAAAAGCCCATCTCTGTATAATAGAGCATACATTTGGGATTAACTAGAGGCCATAGATCCCTCATTGGCAGAACTCCAAAGAGTGCATTTTGGTGGGGTGCAAACAGGAACACAAATCTACTGGAAAGAGCTGCTCAGATATTTCCAGAGGAGGAAATGTGGAAAACCTCAAACTCTCTGATACTTATTAAGTGTTACTTATTTCTTCCGTGAGAGAGAGTGAAAGAGAGAGATACAGAGAAAGAAGAGAAGTGCATCCCCAACCCTAGCCAGCCTGGGTCATGGGCACATGTATGTATATCCTCCATGCGTAGGGAGACCTTAGGATGTGACCCTGATACCTTCCCATGTGATCCAGCTGATTTACTTTGATATTTTAAATAAGAAAATCCTAGGAAATTCCAGTTTACCCAACAGAAATTTCCTGGTTTAGGCTCTAGGAGATGCTATGGCATAATAGTCACTTTCTTCATCTCAGGAGAGATGCTCTTCCTCAGAAGTCATGTGAGTAATGCTAGATAGGCCTGCTATGATCTGCTCACTTCCAGGACTGCACTGTCGTTTTATTGATGATAGTGTTATTTTTCTATCTTTTGTAGACTACCCAAAAGAATGGATTTTACTGAGGCTTACTCAGACACGTGCTCTGCTGTTGGATTTGCTGCCAGGGAAGGCAATGTTAAAATCTTAAGGAAACTTCTCAAAAAGGGCCGAAGCGTTGATGTTTCTGATAACAGGGGATGGATGCCAATTCATGAAGCAGCTTATCACAACTCTGTAGAATGTTTGCAGATGTTAATTCATGCAGGTAAAGTAAATTCAAGGTATGAGAGGCTACACCTATATGCTCAATTAGTAAGACAACAACAAAAATCATAACTTGTTTACAGTAGTATTTGTTTTCCTTTCTATAATCATAAATAGCTGCTTGTACTTTTTGTTTTTTAAGAATGGATTATATCATCATTATGGTGTTCCACATGGACACCTACTGGGTTTATTGGAAAAGTCCTGCCGTATTTAAAAAAACTCAATTTAAGTATTGTCTTTTACATGGCAGTTCTTATTTATTTATTTATTTATTTATTTATTTTTAGGATTTTTACCATAGGGCATGTGTGCTTGTCAGAGAGCAACAGTAAGAGGAAAAGTGAGAAATCACTTTTAGGGTGTGACCACTCTGCAATCCCTTCTCCTCCACCCTTCTCTTGGGATTTTGAGCATGCATGCACATGTGCCCAGTGTGATTTTCAAGCCTTTGGGTCCAGGACTTGAACCACAGTTGGCCATGTGGGAGTACAACACCTTAACCACCATGCCACTTGCAGGCCTCTGCTTGGCCTATTTTTATTGACTGAGCTAGAAGATATGACAAAAGTAGTCTACTTTTTTAATGTAAACATTTGTAGTTAGTGGTTGTGAGTATGCTTTCTTTTCCAAACAAAAAGAACATTTTTGCTACTGAAAATGAGAATGTTTTGTTTGAATTAGTCTTTTTTCTTTTTAAATAGTTTCCAGTTTCCTTAATTTAGGAACTCTTTCCAATTATTCGCACTTTGTATTTTCTAAGAATACAGTTTAGCAGGGGACTAGGTGCCTGCCTTTATGGTGTTTGTGTTCCTGTCAGGGGAGACAGACAGTAAATACCTGAACGATTAAACAAGATCATTTCTTTTCTTTTTCTTTTTTTTTTTTCTTTTTTGAGAGGTTTATGCTATAGGGTGCGTATGCTTGCCAGAAAGACAGAGAGAGACAGAAGGCGAGAAGTCACCCCCTGGGGGGATGGCCACGCCACAATCCCTACTCCTCCATTCTCCTCTTGGGACCTTGGGCACACATGCACACGCACCTGGCGTGAGTTATAAGTCACCGAGTTCGGGACTCGAACCATGGTCAACTACATGGGATTCCAGCGACATAGCCATTACTGCTGGTCCAAACAAGATAATTTCTAAAGTTAAGTGTTGTGGACAAAATAAGTAATGGGATATAGAATAATGGTGTGCTATTGTATGTCTGTTTGCAATTTTGCATTTATTGATTTAATGCTTCAGATCAGCCATGGTGAGAATATATATGTACACCATGGAAATCAACCACTGTTAGAAGCCAGTGCTGCAAACCAAGCTTTTTCCCCCTTGAAGAGCCAGTTGTTAACCATTAACTAGCAGTGAAAGGTAATAACTGATGGAGAGATTCTGATACTCAAGAGAAGGGGGGAAAAAAGAGAAGGGGGGAATGGCTGGAAAACTAATGGTCATTAAGCCCTACTTGGTAAACACAGTTATTGGGCTAGATGTATTATTAACATCATTTATTTAATATATGTAGGTGTCCAGCACCTTGACCACCATGCCACCTGCTGGCCCTGAGGTTAAGACCACCAGCAGGTGGCGTAGTGGTTAAGTGCTGGACACCTACATGGATGACCATGGTTCAAGTCCTGTATTTGGCAGCTTGCTTTCTCACTCTGTCTTTATCTCTCTCTGTGTGTCTCTTTTTGGTCAAAATAAGAAAATAATAATGATTATGGTGAATAAAATTAAATTTTTTTTGTTAAAAAAGGTGTTTTTATCCTTATTTTATGAGTGAAAAAAAACCCAACTTAGGTTGACTTATCAAAGGTTACATAATAAGTTAGGATTATTGGTTTTAACCATTTCTGACTCTAAAGCCCTTGTTTTTTACTCCCTGTAATACCATGCTTTTAACATTTATTCAAAGTAAATATTCGTAGCATTCAGTTGATTTAAATAGAGGTCAAATGTAACACCAGTGAATTATTTACATTTTATTGATCATGGAGTTTCTCTTCTTCCTGTGTACTTACCATTAACAGGTATATATATATATATCTACATAAAATGTAGACTTCTGGGTCTATAGTTTATAAGAACTACTAACTTTTTTTTTTGATGAATTAAGCCAAAGTTTTATTTCCAGGCTCTTCAAAGGTTATTACAAACACAAAGTATCTTTAAAATGTCCCAAATTAAGTCAAAGGCACATTCTCAAAGTAAAACACTTATGAGATGAAGAATTCTTTTAAGTTTTAATATTTTCACGTTACTTTGTTTTAAACCATTTGCAATGTTTGGTAGTTCACATTTTAAACATTTTTAAGGACATGAAATAATGTATTTCTTTTTTTTTTTTGGAAAGGTTTGTGCTATAGGACACGTGCGCTCGCCAGACAGAGACAGAGAGACAGAAAGCGAGAAATCACCCCCCAGGGGGGATGTCCATGCCGTAATCCCTTCTCCTCCATTCTCCTCTCAGGATCTTGGGCATGCATGCACACGCTCCCGGCATGAGTTTTAAGCCACCGGGTCCAGGGTGCGAACTGCGATCAGCTACATGGGAGTCCAGCTACACAGCCATTACGCTAACTACTGGTCCCTAATGTATTTCTTTTTAAAGTACAAGAACAACTACAGGGAAAGGAACTTAAGACAACAACAATCAAGCCTGTTTCATATACAGGATGGCACAACTCAAATCATAACAATTATCTTTCTAAACAAATTTGCTAAGGAATAGCTCTCATCTTTAGTGTTAAAAATAAAACAATCTTCTCATTTAATAAAAAAACAAGACAGCACTTGATTAGTAACGCCTATTCTTCCCTCTAGTTTTTATTTTCCTGTCTTCACTTTGAAAGTATAAATTTATAAGAACAAATTTTGTTATGCTATAAAAGTCTGTATCCAGGGACCAGCAGTTAGCGTAATGGCCATGTCGCTGGGCTCCCATGTAGTCGACCGCGGTTCACATCACCGACACAGTGGTTTAAAACATGCCGGGTGCATGTGCGTGCATGCCCAAGATCCCGAGAGGAGAAGGGAGGAGAAGGGCTTGCAACATGACCATCCCCTCGGGGGGTGATTTCTCTCTTTCTGTTTCTCTGTCTGGCAAGCACACACAGTCCTATAGCAAAAACCTCTCCAAAAAAAAAAAAAATCCTGTGTCCAGAGCAAGAAATTACAGATATTCCATTTATTTTAATGAACAAAAATGTCTTCCTTCTCAAAATGTAAACATCCAGTAAATAAAACACACGTGATATCCAGGTATAGAAAAACACCAGTAATTCATTTATGGAAGAGGTACATCCTGGTATATTTGGTGGTAAAGTTTTTGTCCTAATTACAAAGCACTTTGCCAAAAGAACCAGGACATTATGGTTTAAAACTCTACTCTTTCACCTAGTTTCTTTATTTGAGTAAAACTCTATAAAGTTTCTATGAAATTTTTGCTAGAGGGCCTGGCCACAGGATGAAATATCTGAAAGTCATTTGGCTAGAGAAAAGTGTTTTCTTGAGACGTGGAGGCAGTCATTCATCTGTTTGTGCTTGAAGGTATTCCTTTTTTTTTTTTTTGGAGAGATTTTCCCTATAGGGCGCGTGCGCTCGCCAGACAGACAGAGAGAGACATAGAGACAGAAAGTGAAAATCACCCCCCAGGGGGGATGGTCACGCTGCAATCCCTTCTCCTCCATTCTCCTCTCAGGATCTTGGGCACGTACACACACGTGCCCGGTGTGAGTTTTAAGCCAGCGGATCCGGGACGCGAACCGCGTTCCACTACGTGGGAGTCCAGCGACATAGCCATTACGCTAACTGCTGGTTTCCCTTGAAGGTATTCTTTAGCAAACTTCTCTAAAGTCTTCAGAGTAAAGCACAGGATCTGGGCTCCCAGGAGGGGTTTATTCCAACTGACCAGCACTGCATCTGGCCTGAGAGACCTTGATCCTCTCCACACCCACCTGCAGCTTGAATCGCTCCACCAGGCGCTTCAGGGTGCTCATGGTGGCCCTGGCGGTGGGAAGCTCTGGACTCAAGGGCTCTCTGGTGAGCATCTGGGCTGGGCAGGTCAAGTACTACTAAGTTGTTACCTATTGAACAGGAGAAGTAATTTTTGCATTTAAATTTTTATTTATGATAAAATGTGTGCTGTGTACAGGAGAATAAGACAAAAAGAGGCATACCCTCTATAGGGTCTGGTCATGCTGCAATCCCATCTAGTCAGTCAATCAAATTGTATGTGTGTGTGTGTATATAAATATTTGTGTGTATGTACAAACATGTGCACACATGCATACACATGCAATTTGATTACTTTTCCCTACCATTATTAATACCTTGATCTGAGCCATATCCTCTCTTACTTGTGTTGCTGCAATAGCATGTTTTTTTTTTTTTTTTTTTGAAGGTTTTCGCGATATGGCAGCCAGACAGAGAGAAATAGAGACAGAAAGCGAGAAATCACCCCCCCAGGGGGGATGGTCACGCCACAGTCCCTTCTCCTCCATTCTCCTCTCGGGATCTTGGGCATACATGCACACGCTCCCAGTGTGAGTTTAAAGCCACAGGGTCTGGGACGCGAACCGCGGTCAACTACGTGGGAATCCAGCGACATAGCCATTACACTAACTGCTGGTTCTCACTGCAATAGCATGTTAACAAATCTGTGTGTCAGTGAATATTGCCATACATACATCTTTGTGTGTATGAGTGACTTTTTTTTTTTTTTGCCAGAGAGTATGTGGCCTGGCCAGAGAGAGAGCGAGAGACGTACTTTTCAATGGGGAGTAGTTATGCTACAGTCCTTTCTTCTCTAGTTTTTCATTCCATCAGGGTTTTGGGCATGTACACACAGATACCCAGCATGTTTTCTTTTCCTTTCCTTTCCTTTTTTTTTTTTTTTTTTAAAGGAACATAGTTTTTTTTTTTTTTTTTTTTTTTTTTTTTTTTTTTTTAAGAATTGGTTTATTTAACTTTATTTTATTTTAATTTGACCAGAGAGGAACAGTGTGTGTGTTTGTGTGTGTGTAAAAAAGGGGGAGAGAGAATGTGAGAAATTGAAAAAGCAAATTGCCAGATCCAGGACTGGAACCATGATCTACATGGGAGTCTAGTGACCTTAACCACCACACCACCTGCTGGCCCCTACCCAGCATGTTTTTCAAGTTGCTAGGGCCAGGGTTCGAACCAGAGTTAGCCATGTGGGATCTGGCCCCCAGTGCCCAGTGTTTACGCACTACACTAGGTGGCTGGCCCGAGTGAGCATTTCTGCAGGATGGAATTTTAGAAGTAAAATTGTTCAAGAGGTATGTTGTGTTAAGACTGGATTCTCTAGATAAACATAACCTAAGATAAGAGGGGACTTAATGAGAATTAGTTCTTGTAATTATGGGAGCTGAGAAGCCTTAATGATAGACCGTGGAACAGAGAGCTAGGGAAGATGGTGATATAATTCAGTCTGGGTCTAAGACCTGAGAACCAGGGAAATGAGTAGTCTAACTGACTGAGTCCAAAGGCCTGAGAACTAGTGCTTGGTATCATTGGCTTATGTCTCAGAGCCTGAAAGCCTAAGTGTGAGGAACCCCAATGTCCAAGGGCAGGAGAAAATGGATGTCCTAGCTCAAGAAGAATTCTCCCTCTGCCTTATTTTCTGTCAGGCTTTCAGTGGATTCAATGCTGCCTGCCCACATTGGTATGTGCAGATCTTCTGTACTCAGTCTGACTCAAATACTAATCTCTCCCAGGACCACCCTCACAGACACACCCAGAAATAATATTTTAACAGGTATCTGGACATTTCTTAACCCAATCAAATTGAGGCATGAAATAAACCAACTTAAATGCCAAGGTTTAAAATATCAAAGATGCTGCTAAATTGTATTCTATAATACAATATATATAAAGCTCAGTAATGAATGAAGGGAACCTAGTTCATAGCTTAAACAAAGAAAAGGAATATAATGCTAAATCTAAGTTGTATGTCTATTCAGGCATTGCTGGATGCTACAATTCAAAACAGTATCATTAAGTCTCGGGTCTCCCTTTTTCTCAGCCCTGCTTTTCTCTATGTTGTCTTATTTTCAGGCAGGATTTCTATTTAGAAGTTCTAAATTTACCTCATATCTAAAGAACTCCTTATGGATGTTAATCCTTTATTGTTACATGTGTTTCAGATATTTTATGTATTTTCACCATGTGTTTTACTTTTTTGATCGTGTCTGATTTCTTTGTAATGCTTTCAAAACTCTTCTGCTCCATTGACTTATTCCTGGTCTCCTATAAGCATGATAAAGGGTTGACTGAGAATCTTGTATGTACATAGTAAAATTCCTTGTGTTGTGGAGATTGTTATATATATCTAACTTTTTCTTAGAATTCTTACATAAAGCATAGTAAGATACTATATACATTGTGAAAATTGATTATATAATCTATCTGAAATGAATATTTGTCACTCCATGATTAGCACGTAATTAAATTTATTTGGCCTCCTCAGATCATAGATTAACTGTTGAGTTAGAGTTTCTTTTATTTTTTTCATATATTTATTTATTTACTTATTTATTGAGAAAGGGAAGGGGGAGAGAGAGAGAGAGAGAGTGAGATCCTAGACCGGGTCTGACCATGCCCCCACTGTAATGGCATGGATTGTGGGGCATTCAGCATACTCGGGTCGGCTTGCAGCCTAAACATGGGGCCTTCTCATAGGGCTCAGTATCACACAGCAGTACATCGCTGATTGTACCACTGCAGCTGAGCCGTATTTGATCTAAATATTTAACCTGTCCTCTTTACTGAAAACCATGTGGTTTGCTTTTCGTCTTAGCAGTTTACAGAAAACAAGAGTTAGAATCTACCATCACTTCTACTATTACAACAGTGTTAAATAAGTTTACTATTTATGAACGAACATAGGGCGTGGTATCATTGACATAGTGTTAAGGCCAACTCTTGTCATTGCTGCACATGTGTCAGTGGCTGGCATTGATCCAGGTGAGATGGGCCCAAATTCGAAGTGTAGCCAAGATAGAACTCATAGGTTATTATGAAAGATCTGAAGTGCTCATGGTGTTTGTTCATTAGAAAGTTTTAATATGTTTACAGTTTAAAATTAGAGCATATAGATGAGAAGCAGAAATCACTTTGTCTTCTGTGGAGAATAAGGCAGTAAAAAAACTTAGTATGATGAGCTGTTTTTTAAAGAAGCCCTCCTGCAGGAAAAGGAAGGGGGGCTGTCAATGGTTCAGTAGACGATAGATAAAGGACTTTTTGGTAAAACTCAAACATTGATTGAAGGAAGGCAGTTTACCATTGGAACTTCCAAAACCAATTTATATTGAGTTGGAAACTTTCTTGAAATGATATTTTGGAGATTTTACCAAATTTTAAACAACTGTGACAGTGCATAAATATTGTAATGATTACATATATAGCTGCATTTATGCATTTTCTAAACATTTAGATTATGTACCTAATTCTATTAAATCTCTGAAAGATAAAGATATCTTTATTTTCTGTAATTCAAATCGTTCAAATCTTTCAAGATCTCATAGCAATAAATTGACTTTAGTGTTTCTCCCTGAGTGAGGGTGCCTTTTATGTTCTTTACTTCATAGATAATCGCAAAGGTACTTTTGTTTCCTAAGGTGGGTATGGATGTAAATCACTAATGGTGACCTGTGCTCCAGAGGTGAGAATTAAGTTCTACTTTCTTGAACAGGAGTCTCTGTATAAATAATTTGAAATTCTTCTGTGTAGGAGATTTGTTTCTTCTCTCTTGTTTTTTAATTTACTCAATCATCTATATTTACATGGACTTAGATATTTAATTTATACTTCAGGGTTATAATCCAGTGTGATGCTATTTATTTTGTTGCTCAAATTATCTTGGCCATGCACTCATTTTTTTGAGCCCCCCCCCCTTTTTTTTTTCAAACTTTCTGGACCTATGATATGCATCAGGCTCATTTTGTATAATCCTTACCCCAACTTTAGAATCAGCAATTCTCGTAAGAGCCCTGGTTTCATTCATCGATCATTCAAATCTTTGGTGTTTCATCTCTTTTATTATTGTTTATTATAAGCCAGAGAATGCGTGCATTTGCCAGAGAGAGACAAGGAAACATGGAGGGAGGGAGAGGGAGAAAGCACTCCACAGTGGGGATGGTCATGCCAGTCCCTTCTCCATTCTCTGTCTGACCAGGATTCTGGGCACACATGCACATATACCCAATTTGGTTTTCGTGCTGCCGAGGTGGGGATTCTAGCCATTCTGTAAACCTTGAGATTGGCTGTCTTAATTAAGCACTAGGCTATGGCACTGGCCTGGTATATCTTTAAGGCATTGCTTTTGTGTTCAATTCCTGCCATTCCCTCCACCTCCAACAAAAATTAGGGGAGAGAAAATGAAAATGAGTGGGCAGAAGTTATGTGCTAAAAATGCCAAGGAACTGGTCACACTGGAATCTTGTCCTTGATTTTTCTAGAGTTTTAAACTATGAGACCTCTTATTTATAAGTAAATTTGTATTTTAATATTTTATTAAATTTCTTTTGGAATCTTTGCTTTTTAAGCCCAAGGAGTTGAAGTAATAGGTGGATTTTTATTCTTTCATAGATTCATCTGAAAACTACATTAAATCAAAGACATTTGATGGCTTCTGTCCATTACATCTTGCTGCAAGTCAAGGACATTGGAAGATTGTACAGATTCTTCTAGAAGCTGGGGAAGATCCCAATGTAACTACTTTAGAAAATAACACACCACTGTTTTTAGGTAATGAATGCTAATTGTGGCACAGAAGCAGTTTAGGTTTTTAAAAAATTTTTTCTTAAAGAAACTAAGCTGAATTTTTCTTCGAGTTGTTATATATTTTCTGTTGACAGATATTATGCCACTGCTATTTAAATTCTGAAACCGAAAGATGTGTTTAAAGGTTTCTTTCTTGTGTTCTATCCTTGAGTGGTAGCATTTGGGACTTCAAATGTTTATTTAAATGCATAAAATCTATTTGAATTATAGTAACCATCATTGTTATCCTCAATGTAATTCTAAAGACTAGATAGTACTTAAATTGTAGCATAGTTACAAGGTTACCTGTGAATGTTTTATGTTTGCCTTTTCTTTTTCTTAGCATTAAGAAATTAAGAAGCTTTTATTGAAGAAATTGCCAGCTAATCCTTTAATTCCAGTTAATTTGTTGCCTATGGGGATTACTATTCAGATCCCTTTAATTATGGACTCTTTAAATTCCTTACAGATGATGGCCGAAGTCCAAGTGGCATGTTTCCAGTCCTACTTGTCTTTAGAGACATTGTGTCCCATAAAGTTTAGTGGCAAATGAGAAAAATTAAGAGAAGAAAGTATTTGGAATAGAATCAGTGTATTTTGACTGTAGTTTTGGTCCTGCCACATGTAATTTTGCATGTTACTCTTCGGTTTTCTCACTTATAAAATGAGAGTAATAGTACCTACCTAGGCTTTCTTACTGAGCTGAGAATAAAGTGTTAATGAAAATACTTTTTCCCTTGTGAACTGAAAAAGCGTATTTAAAAAATATACGTTTATTAAAATTCACTCTTTAGATGTGCAGTTCTGTGAGTTTTAAGATGTGCATAGACTTCTGTAATTAAAACAGTCAAGATACAGAACTGTCACTTCCCAAGATTCCATTCTGTTGCCTATTTTATTTTTTTGCCTAGGGCACATGTACTCACTAGAGATAGACTGAAAGGGACAGAGACAAAGAGAGAGACAGAGTGTCCATCACCTCCCCACACCTTCCCCCCCCCCACCCCCCGGGGGGGGATGACCACTCTGCAGTCCCTTCTCTTCCAGTCTCTTGGGATTTTGGTCATGCACACATATATGTCCAATGTGATTTTTAAGCTACTTGGCCTGGGACTTGAATTGTGAAGTTGGTCATGTGGAATCCAGCACCTTAACCTCTATGTCACCTGTTGGCCCTTGGTGCCTGTTTTTAATCAACCTTTCCCTTCTCTCTCCAACTCTATCCTTAACAGCTGCTGATTTGTCTTATCTCTGCTGTTTGCTTTTGGCGGAATGGAATAGTACACTATGTAACCCTTGAGACTGTTTTTTGTTTCTTTTCAGTTATAGAGAATGGTATTTGACAGGGTCTTCCCATGTCACAATCCTCCTGTCTGGCCTACCTCCCAGTTAGCGAGGACTGTAGGCTTGGAAGATGCTCATTTCTCTTTCTTCTCTCTCATTCTTGTGTGTACATGCACTGTCTCATAATGAATAAAAAAATGTTTTTTTAAAAATGTCCATTCCTTTTTGTTGCTACATAGTATTCCATTGTATGGATGTACCCAATTTATTTGTTTATCAGTCAAAGGACATTTGGTTGTTTTCTGTGTTTGGTGATTATGAATAAATCTTTATAAAGATTTGAATGTAGGTTTTGTGCGAATATAAGATTTCATTTACCCTGGGTTAATACTGAAGATTGCTAAGACATATGGCAAGTATATGTTTAACTTTGGAAAGTAATTTAAAAGTTTCTTAGAAACTGCTCTACATTTTGGGCCCAGACAATTGTACAGAGGTAAAATGCAATGCTTTTCCTAGGATCCTGATGGGAAGGAGAAGTGAAGAAAAAAGGATTGCAACATGACCATACCCCATCAGGGTTCTCTTTCTTATGACCTCTAGCATTGAAAAAAAAGAAATAAAAGAAATTTATTTAGCTCATGATTTTTGAGGCCAGGAAATCCAAAAGCAGGGTGCTGGCATCTGGTGAGGGTTAGCCCATAGGCAGAAGCAGATGAATATAAGAATGTAATCTTTAAGAAAACAGCTCTTAAAAACAACACTTGTTGGGAACCAGCAGTTAGCGTAATGGCTATGTCGCTGGACTCCCACGTAGTTGACCGCGGTTCGTGTCCCGAACCCGGTGGCTTAAAACTCACGCCGGGCGCGTGTGCGTGCGTGCCCAAGATCCCGAGAGGAGAATGGAAGAGAAGGGATTGCGGCGTGACCATCCCCCCTGGGGGGAGATTTCTCACTTTCTGTCTCTATGTCTGTCTCTGTCTGTCTGGCGAGCGCACGCGCCCTACAGTGAAAATCTCTCCAAAAAAAAAAAAAAATTTGTTTAACTTTTAACCAAGCACTTTGAAATGTATTTGATCTTAATATTCTTTGTTTGGTGGAACATTTAAGACTGTCTCAAGGAACATTAATATTCTGTGGGACCGTTTGGAAAATGCTATTTTATTTAACATATTTTTCTTTATTCGAGATAGAGTATGAGAGAGAGAGAGTGAATAAGTATTGGGGAGGGAGAGGAAGAGAGACAGACAGGAACATGCACACACTGCTCTGGACCTGGTCATGCCGTGGTCCCTTTCTCCATTTCTTTAGCTCTTTAAGATTTTGGGCATTTGCACATGTGCTGGTGTGTTTTAGGACTGCCAGAATGGGGATATAAACCTTAGTTCCCTTATGGGACCTGGTTTACCTCTTTTTTTTTTTTTTTTGCCATTGGGCATATGCACCGACTGGAGAGAAACAACAGAGGAAGTGAGAAGTCAGCCCCCAGGGGGTATGACCACACCACAACCTCTTCTCTATTCTCCCCTTAGGATTTTGGGCACTCATATGGGCCTGGTATAATTTTCAAAGTTCTACGACTGGTATAATTTTCAGGTCTACGACTTGAACTTGGCTGTGTGGGAGTCCAGTGCTTTAACAGTCATGCTACCTGCTAGCCCATGAATCTGGTTTTCTTAAACATAACATTACTGCTACACCATGAAACCAACCCTGAGAAATGCTATTTAGGCCACTTAGTTTATAGTTTCAAAATATTAGAGTCCCATTTGCAAAATTCAGTATTGTTCCTATTTAAGTACTTGGAGGAAACTAGAGATGCAGAGTTTTTAGTGGTTTATATTTCAAGATATTATTAATTTGAAGTTTTTATGTTAATAAAGGATAAATTGCTGAGATAATTCAAACCAGTGAATACCTTTAAATCACTTACTTTTAGTAATAGGATTTATTTAGTTTTTGAGCAGCAAATTTACCTTAATTATGTTTTGTATAAATTAACACAAAAAATAATTTAACTGTAGCAGATATAGGCCACACATAGTACTTTTTACGAACTCTAGTATTGTATCGGTTGTTAGGTCTCTGTTGGAAGTAGGTAGGATATTTTGAAAAATAATAAAAAAGGGAAAAGTATAACCTTAACTTTTTTAAGAACATAATTTGTAAATATCAGTCTTTTTTTTTTTTAAACACACGAACATTGTCATTTCTTTTTTTTTTTTTGGAGAGGTTTTTGCTATAGGGCGCGTGCGCTCGCTAGACAGACAGAAACAGAGAGACAGAAAGTGAGAAATCACCCCCCTAGGGGGGATGGCCACGCCACAATCCCTTCTCCTCTGTTCTCCTCTCGGGATCTTGGGCACGCACGCACACGCGCCCGGCGTGAGTTTTAAGCCACCGTCCACCGGATCTGGGACGTGAACTGTGGTCGACTACGTGGGAGTCCAGCGACATAACCATTATGCTAACTGCTAGACCTTATTTTTTTTTAATTTATTCATTTTCTACATTAATTCACTATACACCATCACAACACACAAATGAATTTTCCATCCAAAATACACTGTGCATTGGCTCAGTCAAGCACATCAACATACATATTCTCAGCAAATAATTTTCCAATTCTTATGTCCTGCATACCTTGCCTTTTGTTTTGCCATCCTTGATTCCCCATCCCCCACCCTCTGCTATGTCCCATTCTCCTCCCCCATTGTCCCTGGCATCCATGGTTGCCCTCCATGCCTTCCCCCCCCATTCAATTGTTCTGCCAATGC